TGTGGAATTCGCTAGTTAAGGCAAAAAAATCGCACTTGTGAAAACATGACTACACCGCTTCAAGTCGTTCACGGTCATCGATTTGTTTCCCCATTCCCACCTGGTCTTACGTAGCAGAAAAGCTTCAAAGTTTCCGTTAGGAGCAACATTCTGTTGCTGAACAGAAAACTTACCCTGTAGTATGCAAGAAATAAAACTAATCATCGAACCCTTCAAACTTCACCAACTTTCCTAGGCTAGTATGTCTTAGTTCATCGGTGAGACGTGGCACAGCTCCGTGGTTCGGAAGAGAAACCACATGAAAAGGCATGACTCTGCTTCATCCCACGGAGGAAAATCCTAACTTGCCAAGTAACAACATGGAACCTCGTTCGCCAGAGGTGAACGATAGGCCGGCGTTCAGTCTACGATGCCTGGCAAACGTGGAGGGTACCCAAAGCAGTTTGCTAAGATTGAATGGAAATTACAAAATGTTCCCACTTCCCTACTTGTCGTTCGAATCAGACAACGATGACCTGCAATATACGACTGATGTTTGAGTGATGAACTTCAACTGTAACGGATTGACACCCAAAGGACTGTAAGCACTCAATTAGAAGACCTTTGCTAACACGGAACGATAAGGTAACAGAGAGATATGGAAGCTTGTGGCGAAAAATCGCATGATACAGGCAAACGTGGACATCGATCCTAGGCAACGCTTATCCCAGTTAAATACCGAAGAGGATCAATCAACTCTTGTTGTTGTTATCATTATCTTAGTGGACATTTTCTATTTTAACAGCTGGACGGTACGACACCTTGGGTTCTGCGACTTGTCCTTAGATGCACTCCGTCGTGCTTTCTCTCCGCGGCCGATAGCTCTATGTTCCTTCGGAATAAAATATAATTTTCCTCGACAGATCTGCACACAAGACATATGGAAATTTGTCTTTTGCCACCGTACCGTTAGATAGATAGATTTTTTTCACCAGCGATCCTCAGACCTACCTTAATGACTGGCTAATACACTTCGCAATGATTTGTTCTGGTATATGATTGCAGACTTATTTCTTGTGAACACCGACGTTTGATTGTTGATCAACTTTCGGAACGATAATACGGTTTATTGTAGTGCTGATATTCATCATGCGTTTATTTTTCTTATCGCCGTTTGTCGTCTCTTTGCTAGGGCCGACAGGAGAAGTGTGCAGTTTATTTTGAAAACGAGCGTTTACTACCAGATTTCAAAAACCAAAAGATTCATATCATCAGAAAAGATTTCGGCACCAAGAAAAGCCAAGTGATTACCACATGCAGGCCGAAAAACACCTAGTGTTTTAGTTGCCGGCAACGCAGTTTCATAGCCGTTTAATCATCAACATGAGCATGACGTCTCCAGTTTGTTTGGCAGTCGTACAACACTTCTGTTATGAGGCACCGGTTGTTGCATTACAGATAGAAATGTTGCTTGCTCTCCAAAAACACAGATCTCTCTCTATTTTGGCAGGATGCGCGCTGGCTTCCCGGATGGCGCCTGCTTTGTTTCGGCTCCCACTTGAAAAGCCGTGGAGTGGAGTAAACGGTTTCTGCTCAGCCGGTTTGTCAAGCACGGCTAATTTCCTTTTTTTACTCTCCACGTCGGCCTGTGACCAGAACGGAATCGACTCATTCCGGTCATTTTACCCTCATTACGCGTTTAAGTCAACGCTGTTGTAACAGTTCAGCCTTCGTTCTTGCTTTTTCGTTGGAACAGCTGTTTCCACACTGTACAACAGCACAATTTTTTCGGCCACGTTTGTCCATGTCTCAACTCAGATATTTGACGGTTAACTAAAGCACTGGATGCGAGGGTAATGCTGGTAGTGTTTAATTCTGATTGAACGATACAATTGCTGGAGATGTTGCAGCGAGTCACTTAAACTGATCGACTGTCTATGGCTTCCTCTCGTTGATCCACTAAAATATCAGCCGTGTCTGAGGCTAATCTCAACTTTGGACTTCCATTCATTAAGGACTTCGGACTTTCGCTGCTGTGTTGCAAACGGAGGCCATCAAATGACAGAAGTCGTTCCCGTACTATTCATCGGGATGTAGCACTTCATGTCAGTGACATCTAACCGGATATTTTGAACTGCTCCTTCCCTTTAGAGTGGACGACAGGCTAACTAGCAGTTGCCCGGTCCATAAGGGGAGCGTTTTTTGTTGCACCGACAACGATTGAAGATGCCTATTTGAAAACTCGACTTTTTTGGCATTATGACGATGAAGAAGTCTCTTCATCTAGGCAGAAGGTCTGCTACCAACACACAACAGTATCTCTGTAAGATATGATACATAATATAACAACTAAAGAGTTTAACGCCTGAGACGTTGCGGCTAAAAGCATTGTGCATTTAAGCGTTGCTGCTGCTCCGGATTTCCTAGTGTCCCAGGCAGGGGAAGCAGTATTGACCTATGGTGAACCTCGCTGTGCGCTGGATTGGCGTTGACTTCGATTGCGTTTTCTGGACGCGGTGAGACTCCTCATTTGAACTTCATGCGGAAGGGATGGCTGTCATTTGTTAGCAACGAGTTACCAAGTCGCACTCTGCACCGATTACAGATTACGGTCATCCGACTCCTTGAGGTCGGTCTTATTAAGAAGAAGACGAGAAGCCAGTTCCTTCATTGTTTCAGACTTGTCTTCGTTGTTGGTGTGCCACCAACACAAATCGACGCTCCTTTAATGTTTTCTGTTTATTGCTTTCTGTCCTCACCACCAATACTTTCGCCATCTGCTCGTTCCAGCGAGTTGTTAGACGTCAAGGGGGGAGACCTTTTGAGTCCAAGACTTAATTCTTGAATTTTACGTTTTGTGTGTCAAACTAGCTACGTTTCTCGCCCATCTTCCAGTGGTATCGCAAGAGGTAGAATTTTTGTCCATTAATTTAGACCACTGTCGCATTTGTGCGGTCAGAACGTAGTCCTGGAGGGAAACCCTTTATATTTAGAGTTCCATCATTGGTTACCTCTCCTTAGCTTTGATACTGGGCCAAGATCCAACAGTTCCCTTTTCGCCAACATGGGTAGCAGGCGTTGAGTAATGATGCTTTTTAATGATGTTCCTTGCCGTCTTCATTCTTTTGCTGATTTGCCTGTTTAGTGGCCATTTCCAAGCTAATGGACTGTCTAGTTGCCTG